TTTTGTAGCTTGTTTTCAATAAGTATATAAATGGTCCAAAGAGGTTGTATTCTACAGTCTGCCTGAATGTAATCATTGCGTAGGTGTGTAGTGTGATTCTGTGTAGTTTATTTATGGCATCCCGTTGGATTTGACGTCATCTGAACAGGACATCACACGCTCACTGCTTGATGGCGCGCGAAGGTCTGTTTACGCCGGTTGTTAAACATCGTTATGGGGAAATGCAAGTTTACGTCCAAATGGTTGGAAGATAAGGAGGAAGGACAATCAATACTGTATATAGTAAATGTGAGGTAAAGTGTGTTGCCAATGTAACCGGTTAGAACTTCAAAGTGGCGATGAGGTCTTAAGATGTATGGAAAGGGTCTTAAAAAAAAATTACATTTGACTTCAGGATTCCTGCATATACCCTGAGTGATGAATACATGCAGAGAGAAAGAGGCTGTTGACTGTGTGAAAGTGACCAGTAAATATGAAACGTCTGAATCTAACCGTTGGCTTGGCCTCCAGCCCGCTGCGAACCCAGCGACCCAGAATCACTCTGCCCTTTGTCTCGAAACCTGAGCAGAGGCCAACGTCTCCCTATCCACTCCAACTCTCTCTCAACACACACACACACACACACACACACACACACACACACACACACACACACACACACACACACACTACACTACACTACACACACACACACACACACACACACACACACACACACACACACACACACACACACTACTACTACTACTACACACACACACACACACACACACACACACACACACACACACACACACACACACACACACACACACACACACACTACTACTACACTACACACACACACACACACACACACACACACACACACACACACACACACACACACACACACTACACTACTACACACACACACACACACACACACACACACACACACACACACACACACACACACACACACACACACACACACACACACACACACACACACTCACACTCACAAACCTCTCCTCCATAGCTCCCACTACCCTCACCCCTCCTCTTGTACTTGACACCTTTTGTTCAGTGTAAGTGGATCTTTCAGGTGGCCTCTGTAGCCAAGTCATTCCATGCACAAACACACACAACTTTACTTGTGAGAGAAAGCATGAACATAATGCAATCTCTATGCCCTAACCTCAGTGCAAACGTAATTGTAACAAAGTCCTAACCCTTTAAAATCGACCCTTCAGTGTAGACCGGTCCTCCTAACTTCACCATTTCATAAAAGAAAAACGCAAATTGGTCCTCACAAAGATAGACATACAAGACCAAACACACACACTTTGCCCTCACCATGTCCCACTCTCCCATGCAAGAATAAACGTCTCCCGAAACCCTCTCTTCCTCCCATCCTTTGTATCACACACACACACACACACACACACACACACACACACACACACACACACACACACACACACACACACACACTCAGTTTCTCATAGTGATAACAAAATCACCTCTTCAGCAGAGCATCGGACATATTCAGACCCAGGTAGTCTCATCTTCATTACCTCGCACATTTTAAGCGTTTTTCTTATTTAATGTAAGCTGTTATTGTACATTAGAATCTCTCTGAGGTGACAATAGTTCACTTTTGCTATTCTGGATTTGAAACACTTTGAAGGGGTTGTCTCTGTTGGATGAAAGCAGCACAGACGAGAGCGCTGACTGCTAAACAAAGCACTGAACGTTTATTAGTGGCACTTTAGATTTAATCATTCTCCCTCTCTTATTAGATTTTCTTCATCCTATTAATTTACACTATCCTTCTCTCTGTCTGCAGGACGTCCACAGTCAGCTGTGTAACCACAAGGCTCTGCTGCAGCGCATCATGGAGAGCCTGAAGATGAAATACTCCGACTCCCTGGTCCCGGTGGAGATCGAGAGCCAGCTGCAGGAGGTCACACAGTCGCTGCAGCAAGTAGAAGTGAAGGTACACAAGACTTAGATTTTTACATATAAATATGTAATTGACTCATAACAGACATTTGAAAGAAATGACAGAAAACTAAGTATGGAAAATTAGAGTAGTTACATTTACAGGGCACTTCAGGGAATATTTTATTTAATAATAACTGTTTAATAATACAGGAAGAGTGTGTTATAAGTTTTATACTTTAGAATTTCTGCCAAATGTACTAAGTTTGAATATTTTTGGATTACAATAGTATATGTCTTAGAAATGACCTTGGAATGAAAAACAATTATAAAGACTTCAGAAAAAAAAACTTCTGTTTCTGTCATTGTTAATGTTTGCACTTGATTCCTCCGTCAGGTGGGAGAGGCGGTGGAGAGGAGCGGCCCCGTCCACAGGCTGGGGGCGAAGCTGTCTGAGATCCAGGCTGGCCTGATGTCCGTTCAGAAGAGACTTGAACAGAAAAGCCCAAATGTGACCATAGCTAAATTCACTCAGAAGGTGAGCACTGACATAATAATAATAATAATAATAATAATAATAATACATATTATGATATGTATGATATAATACATTTATTTATATAGCACACTTTAAAAAACAACGTCATCTCAAGGTGCTTCAAAATGCTACTGTATGACATGAAGCTGTCCTGGATCGATCATTGGCACTCTGCTAACTATGCTATTACAGATACTACACAAAACTACTAAAGTTGTGTAAAAATCCTTCCATTCTGATAAGCTCCTCATCGTGTATCCCTGCCATTAATCTTGTAACTGGATGTCAAACCTTTCTCTGCAAAGCATCTGTTATACATGAGCTAGAGGAAAGTTATTTCAGAGTCATTTGGAAGGCCATGAAAAGAGTTGACTCATTCCTGTTTATTGAATGAAGCCATTAAGATTTCAGTTTTTCTGTAGTGTGCATGGGGCTTAGTGAAGAATTTTAAATAAGGAACATCGATTTCAGCACTAATTTGTATTAACATATACTCAAATTCTTACCGATACCAATGCAGTTTGTTTTGGTTTATGATTTACCACCTTGAATAATTGTATAGGTTTGCTGGTTGTTATGGGACAACATTAAAGCTTAACACAAATCTAAGAAAATAAACGCTGTTAAACAAATCTTATCAAGGCGATCATGTTCATGTTCATTGTTCTTTCAAAGTTATATTTCATGTGTTACAATGTAATCATAAATAAATCCTCTGTATGATTGTGTGTCTGCTCAGCGTGTGTGGGACGAGCTGGACGTGTGGCACTCGTGTCTGGCGGCGCTGGAGGTGGACATGCAGGACCTGGAGAACCCTGAGGAGGCGCTGATGCTCACTGAGAGACTGGTGGAGGTCCAGCAGCTCCACTCGCAGCTGGCCAAACAGGCGGAGCAGAGGACCACCCTCATCAGCAAGGTCAGAAAGACTTCAAAACCCTTCAGTCCACTTTTTCACTTCTCAAACTGCCAGCGTTATTCCCTGAGTCATAATCACAAGCTGCTGAGTCTCCTCATTTGTTTAGTGGCAACAACGAAATGCCGAACTGTGTACTTAATTCATGTTTATATTGGCAATAATCTGATGTTATGTTATCTCTCATATTTGCCTCAACACTCTTTAGCAGACAGTTCAACCGTATCATTAGCACACACTCATCACAAGCCTTGTAACTTAGCAAGTTCCATACAGTAAACATAATTGTGTCTTTTAATTGATATGATGTGTGTTTTAAGATCTGTTTTCACACAGTTGGTGTCATTTTCTTGATTAAACTAAGTATTGTTTATGTTTCTGCTCAGATCCCAACGTGGCTTCAGGAGCATCAGGAGATGATCAGCAGCTCTAAAAGCTGGATGGCTGAGGCCAAGTCGTGGCTCGCTACACCCTGCACCTACACCACGGCTAAATGTCTGAGCAGCCATGTTCACACTCTGCAGGTGGGGGCACTTATCTGGGGTCTGAATTATCAACACTGCCGTTTCTTCACCTAAAAACTGTCCTTCAAAGACATATTTACCAACCAATAAGAGACTGACAACCACAAATCAACAAAGCAATGACTATAGAATAACACAAAAAAGCTACAAAGGGATGCAAAATAGCCCAAAAGAGAAAAAAGACTATGAAAAGAGGGGACATTTTTTAAGTGAGACTAAAAATTACTACAAAGGGACACAAAACAATGTGAAAGTGACACAAAACGACTACAAAATAAACAAATGCAGGCATTGAACAACACAAAGAGAAAGAAAAAATGGAAGTCTGTGTGTTTGCATGTCTGTGCCAAAGGGCTCATTGTCTCGTAATCCCCTTATGATTGCTTTATGCAGAAGAACATCATCAAAATGTAAATGTAGGGAAAATGTGCATTGGTTGAAAAAACACGTACATTATGTCTTTCTTGTGTTTCAGATGGTGTTGGATGACTCGGCACAGATCCGGAAGACTCTGCAGGGCTTCAGCTCCGTCCTGCAGGAGATGTCTCAGGTTTGCGACGTCACGACTCTACAGGAAAAGCTGCTGGAAGCCGATCAACAAGTGGCCCACGTTCAGGACAGCTTCACTGCTCCTCTGTCCCACCTGGGCCACGCTGCTGACGTGAGACTTCATTTTTACTTTCATCCTTTGACTTGGCTTGATTTGTGTGTCCCACCCTTCTACTCTATGTTCACGCCTTATTTCTAAATGGTCAAACACATTGATTCATCTCTTGCTGTCTAGGAGGTGGAAGCCGTTGAGACTGAAGTCAGGTGTATGGAGAATGATGTGGCTGAGATCAAGATCTTATTGTCTTCTCCGGAGACTTTACCCAGCCCCAAAGAAGAAAGCTTCAAGGTGAGACGTGCAGAAGAAAACTCTTTGTGACGAACAACGAGAACATTTTGTGGTTGTTTGAATAAGCAAATACTAAAAGTGAAACAGATGTAGGGATAAGACCATGCTTGTACTGCTCAAACATTAGTGGTGGCTGTTTTCTGACGTCATCAACTTTATCAGCCAGAAATATCAACTAATCGTTTTTTTTTAAAACTCTTCTTATGTGTCCAGAACGTTGAGCAGAAGATCCAGTCCATGAGGAGGACCATTACTGAGATCCAGAAGTGTAAATCAGACCTGTGTCTTCCAGAGAAGGCTGAAGAGACTCTGACTGTCTTTGCTGTTGTGGAGCAGCTGCAGGCTCTGCTGCTGGAGCTGGAGAAGGTCAGTCAGTCAATCAGTCAGTCAGATACTAATGGCACATTTCCACTGCAGGGCCTCGCACGGCTTAGTACGGTATAGTTAGGCCTCGGTAGGCCAGGCTCACTTTATGCTGCGTTCCCATTACAGTTTAGTAGCTGGGGTAGTAACTATAGTAACGCAGTGAAGGCGGAGCCGTGACGTCATCTTCAATGCGAAACACAAAACCAAACATTAGCTGTTAGCATTCAGAGCTCACAGCTCGTCATATCTGTTCAGAAACTAGACAAAAGTTAAACAAGTACAAACCACAGACTGTCTGTGTCATGGGAATACAGTCGCTGGTTTATTCATGTCTGTATAGGCCGTTGTTGTGAGTGTGGACGGTCGGAGCATATACAACGTTAGCTTAGCCGATTCAGAAAACACGCATTTTAAAAGGTTTTTCGCCTGCCGTCTGTCTGCAGACTTGTCAAAGCATTAATTCATGGTTTTTACTAACCGGTATCAGTATGTTGTTACTTCGGCATCATTTTGAAACGTGTATTAAATCACGGTCAAATATGTCCGTTGTAGTTGTAGCCACTCAAGTCACTAGTTTAGCATATTCAGCCCGGTTATTGGCCCGGAAAGAACCACGATTTTGGAGGGCCAGAAAAACTGTGAAAAGGTACCCGTTAGCCGGAACTACCCCTAGTGGAAACGCAACAAAAAACGGGCCGGGTTTGGCACGGCATGCCTAAACCATGCTACGTGCTGCAGTGGAAATGCGCCATTAAAGTACTTAAAGTGGCCTTCACTGAACCTCCTGCTTTTCTCCTTCTGTAGAAGATCCCTGCTCTGTTCATCCAGCAGCCTACAACTCCGGTCCAAACCAGTGCTACGTCTCTTCACCAGACTGCCTCTGGCCCTCAACTCTTCAAATTCACTTCAGAGGACGCAGAGGTGGGTTTGGTTCACCGACAAATAAATAGAGAGCGTTCCTGTAGTTATGGAAGATGAGGACGGCATTGATGATGAAACCTTGCATTGTTACAAGCACACGCCTCTCAATCATGAGTGGTTGCACCGACAAGAAATGTAGTAACCCGGTTATTATTTACTGGAAAGAGACGTTGCTGTTAGTTTTCAAAATATGTTTTCAAAAATAAGTGCCATCTAGTTCCATTATAATGGAGAGAAGGGCAGACATCTCTACAGACGCACCTCCACACTGCTTTCCCACCAAAAAAATCCAAATTGATAATCAATTTTTTATTTTTTTGAGTTAACTCTTCCTTTAATGATTCTAGCGTTTCAGAAAAAAAAGATCCCGGGTTCTTACGATTATTAAAAACCTGGAAAAGTCATGGAAATTCAAAATGCTAATTCCAGGCCCTGGAAAAGTTTTGGAAAACAATATTTTTCCCAAAGTTTTGGAAAAGTCATGGAAATGTAACTAAAGTTGGATCCAATATAATTTATATTTTATCTAATCACCGAAATAGTAATACTATAATGATAATAAATACTGCATCGTACAGTAATGAAACGTAAAATGGCATTTAACTGACGATGTATTTTGCTGGTGAGAGATTTGAGTTGCTTTTAGCGTGTAGAAGCTAGTAAGTCTACTATTTGATTTGTTTTAGATAGGCACAACATGTTTCAGACCTTATTTTCCTGTTCCATGTTAAAATAAACCATTTTCAGTGGTACCGCTGAGAAAGAGTAATGTTTTTGGTCATGGAAAATTAGGTAAAGGCCATGGAGAAGTCGTGGAGAAGTCGTGGAGAAGTCATTGAAAATCATTGGTGAAGAAGTGTATGAACCCTGAAGATCAGTTTAGGTTTTTTTTTTTTTTTACTTCATTAGCCTTTAAGTTAATACTCTTAAACAAAGTGTTTTCCATGATGGCTAGAGTATTTAAAGTGCATTGGATAAGTGACCTAAAATACTATTGTGGAGTCTTAAAGGCATCATGTGTAGAAAGAAGATACAACCAATGTAACAAAAACTGTCATTTTGCGTCTCTCAGAAGGAAGGCGTCAGAATTGTCCGTGTGAAAGAGAACGTGCTGAAGCAGTCCGGAGCGTCGCTGCAGACTGTGGAGCATTCCTCCGCTGAGCAGAGACAATCCGCTGACAGAACTCAGGTAGGAACGCAGGGAGACATCCTCCTGGTTCATTTTGATTGCCTTGAGTGTGAAGCACTTTGTGAAATTCAGCTCTTGAGAGGTGCTGAGTAATACTAATGTACTTACTTTGAACACTAAAAGACATAACTGATCCTTTGAGCACTGTATTTCTAATTCTGTCTGGAGTGCGACTAAAGCGATTTTGTTCTCACTGTTCTGTAATTGACATCACTGAATAATAAATCATTATGTTATGAATATCAAAAACTCACCACCTGACTCTTTGACGGTAGAACAAAGTTTAGAATGGTTTGTACTAACCTGCCTGCTTACCCATTCCTCCATGTGTTTTTAACCAAATGATTTAACAAATGTGTTTTTCCCTGCATGCTTAATACTACTATTTTCTTCTATTTCAAATTATTATGCGAAAACATATTGTTAAAAGTGCAATCAGTGGGACATTGAGCTGAAGTTTTTGGTTTGACTGCATTTGTGAGCAGGGGGAGATTCTAGTTGAGATCTGAAGTAAACAAATAAGTGAGGCTGAATTAAGAGCAACATAATCCCAAAGATGTGTGCACGATATTTAGAATATTTGAATATGATATTAAATAATAAACCATAACACTCTTGGGGAGAGTGGACTAGCGGACTCCTGTGTCTGAGAAGACTTTTGCACAATGGTTCACGTTTGCCTTCAGATTAGCTTGTCTCCCCTAAAGTTACACTCGAGCTGCTTTTAGTGCAATGGTTCAAAAACAACATTAGCAGCAGCAGCAGGTGCCAGCTCAGTGTCCCAGATGCACTTTTTACCCCCCCTCCCTCATGTGACTGCACATGAACGTGTTTCCGTGTCAGCAGAGGGAGCATCAAGGCGTGCTCCAGGCTGAAGAAGCCAGAGAGTCAAAAGAAAGTGAGGAGCAGAGAGTTGCAGAAGGTGGAGGAGGGGTTTTATGGTGGCTCTGGGATGCTTTCCTGGGTGCTCCGCCAGAGGTAAAAAGATCTGCAGTGGAAAATCAATCATCCATTTTCTTTCTCTGTCCTATCTCTGTCCTGCGTTCATCTCTTTTAACCCCCTCCTTGTGACTTAAGGTCAGCAGCTACTTACAATGTAACGTTTTTTACATCAAATGATAGGTGGATATCTAAAACTAAGTAATTATTTTAAATTAGTAACACACCTGAGGTCAAATGACCAATGGCATATTAAAGCATTTCTAACAAAATTACCTTTTTTGACCCGGGTCACTGTGTTCTCAACGTTACCACTGGCAATGAGTTCCCTCCCCTTCCTCCACAAACCCTCTCCTGACCCTTAACACAGCTCTACAATCAGTGCATTTTCCATTCTGCTCAAACCTCCCTGCATATGTGTTTCTGGATTTTGTTCTGCCTCTAGAGAGCAGTATTGAGCAGTGTTTGTAGTGTGTGTGTCGGCACTGTAGATGAGTAAATTACCAATAAAATGTTCTCTCTTTCAGCCATTTCGTATTTTGGTTTGGTTGTTTGTATAGATTTTGTTAAACCTGTATCATTGTTGGTATTAGGCACAAGAGACTGAAGGGGCCACTGGACAAAGCACTGAACCGACTAAAGAAGACAGACAGGTAAATAAACTCTCAATACTGTCAAACATCCTCATTGGCTCCTATTGGATTTTTTTTAAATAGGGTACGTCTGGTGCTATGCTATATGTTCATACTGGCAACACATCTAATCAGAAGAACTAAAACAACAATGAATTGATCCTGATAGCAAGTCTAGCCCTTGTCTCCAAAGTCTGGTATACCTTGGTTTCCATATAAGCTAATGCATTTGTATTGTCAGAAATGAGTGAGGGAACAAGCAGTGTCAAAGACAGGATAGAAAAATAAAAAACAAAGTGTGTTTGTTTGTACAATAACAAATATAAAGAATATCACCAGCTTTATCTTTTAATGAATCTCAATTATGGGTTTTTGGTAGTGTAAAATGTAAGTAAATGTACATTTCACATTTATATAATTGATGCCAACTTTAACATTTTGTTGACATATTCAGGAGGTGCCATTGAGTGTGTTTCACCATCAACAGTTATACAAGATAACATAACAAGTATTTGTAAATAACATTATTTGATCTAATTCTGTAACAGAGTGTACCAGTAACTGTGTGAATCCTTCTCTCCCGTTAACTAAATGATCCTTGTATTTAACTGACTGACCTGAGTGATCTTCTAACCCTGCTCATGTTTCTTCAGGATGTTGAGCGCCCCACTGACCCCACAGAAGCAAGTTCCTCTGAAGCGTTATCAAAACCCCTGGGCACAGTCAGAACTCAGACACTGCCTGAGAGCATGGTAAACACATCCTCCACCGTAGGAGTCTCCAAATCCTCCAAATCCTCCTCTGGCTCCCAGCAGAAATGTGTAGTCTCCTAGATCTAGAACTTGTATCGCTAGAACTTCTGACTTCTTCTTGTGTCAAGCATTGAACTTCGAGCTTCTTTAAAGCCATGGGCAGAAAGACCCGTCTCTAGAGGCAAGCTTGGATTCCTCTGCTTCTTCTAGAATCAGCCTGGAACACAAGTGTTTGCAACCTATCATAGATGTCCCTACTTTTTCTAGGTCCAACCTTTGAGCCCATCCAGAATCAAGTTTATATTTTGAATGTTCTTCCAGAATCTTCTAAAAGAATCTACTTAATTAATGGGCAGAACAAATCCTTAAATCCCTCTCTTTGACTACCTATTGTATATACTCAAAGTTCTTCTACATCTAACCAAAGAACTCCCCCGTCTAGACTTAAGCCTTATCTAGAATCTTCTAAAACAAGTTCTGGATCTCCTAAAGTACTTCTTAGATCTTCTAAGGACTCCCTTATTCTTCTCGACCAACCTCAACGTGCCCTTCTTCTACACTCAACTCTAATGATGATGTCTTATAGAACCATAGAGCTTTCTAGAATCAATGCTTTTCCACAAATAAACGTTCACACTTTGCACGTCTTCTAGAATCAAACCTAGAACTCCCACTTCTTAGTTTCCTCTAGAATCGTTCTTGAACCTTGATTGTGATTTGGACTTTTCCTAGAACCGTTTCCTCTACACCCAAACTCTTTCTAGAACCTGGTAGCTCCAAGCTGACGCCTTCAGGTTTTAATCAAAATGTCTGAACCTTCAGTGCATTTACATGGCAGAGAGTTGAAACGGTTCACAGCTGTGGACTTTGTGTTTACATGGGGGGATTTGAATCATTGTTTCCTACTGTAGCGTGAAAAATAAAATAGAAGACAGAAAGTAATTAAATCAAATCTGATACGTGCCAAATATCTACTTTTCCCAAAATGACCTCTCTTTAAAGGAGTTGTGGGCTTGCCTGTGTACATTAATATGACTCAGCAGATTATATTGCAACTATGTGAGAAGTGAATGATAGTGTGACAGTTATTTTACCAAAGAAAAGTAGCAGTGATGGTATTTAGCATGTGGGTGGATGGTTTTTGGTCTGTAATAAGCTTTTGCATGGACCTTCACTTTGGGTTAATATGTTTTTATAAAAGCCAGAAACAAAGTGTACTACTAGACATATTTTGTGAACCATGTTTTATAATGTATCATATAGGTATCTTATTTACCGGCAAATGCAGAGCGAATCTGTTAAAAATAAAGTTGCTTGCTTACATGCATCTGCTATTTGAATTTTCATATGCTGAACGTGATAATAAATTGTTGTTTACCCATTTGATTGATTACCTGAGTAGTTATGACTTCAATGAATTGCTCAGTCACTGCCTGGCAGCAGGAGAGTGTGCAGAAAGATTCCCGCTTTGTTGTGAATCAGCATATTTTCTTTCACTATCGACAATGCTGGTTTTGTACATACAAAAAGTTACCTTTTCTAAGATGACGGTTGGCCATGAAAATGCACTGGTTTGACATGATTCCTGATTAACACGCTACTGCTGGCAGGTGAAAACCATGTAACTCCAAATTGTAATCAAATAATGTACTCAACTCGTACTAAAATACTTCCTCCTATGCAAAAGTTTTAAAGGCTTATCAATATTTTCATAAGAGCAATAATAACTCACCAGAAGCTGCCATTTTTGGAGGTACAAGGTTTTCCCCTTAAAGCAGAAATACTGAGATGTCTTACATTACATGGCATGTCCTGTACTTGTACATTGTTCCACTTTTGCTATTTCCATTCTGTCTACATATCCAAACGAGCAGAAATATAAATAAACCCACAACAGTGATCCACTCCGCCGTCTCTCTTTCTCTGTGTCAGGAGCCCATGAAGGGACAGAGGGGGCTTGCATGGAGGGGGGATGACCCAGAGGGGCGGAAGAAATACACACACACACACACATCTGTGAACTCAGTCACAACGGTCCACAAAACATGCACTACTGATTCATCTACATACATACTGCAAAACCAGGATGACACTCAGGGCCAGCGTCTTGCAGCGTATCAACATTTAAAAAATAAGGTCTCACTCAAATTCCAGCATGACACACACAACAGCACTGTCCTCCTCCTAACCCTCTAACAGTGCAGGAGTGGATGCAGAGTTGGAACCTGGTTGCACATAAATAACTGACTGATTGACTGAACTGACAAAAATGTTGTTTAAATACAAAATAAGAGCATGATCAAGCACTTCCAAAGCACAAATTGTTAATTTGAATTCATAATTGGAGCAATTTGAAGGTACAAGTTAGTAAAAATGTCAGTCAATATGTTCTCCTGTAAGAAATGGAGGCCTCTGTATATTCACATTACACTTCAGTGACATCAAAGCTTGGTAAAGGTTTCAGTCAAGTGATTAATAATGACATCCAAAGCAGGTTTGTTGACTCTTGGTGTTCACCGCCTGTCAAATCCTCACTAGTTCCTTGGCGACTGTATTTACAGAGTTAATGTGATGCATTGTGGGTTTGCACCATGCAAAATGCTCATAGTTCAATCGTAAAAAAGAAGCATGGGTCATAGATGAAGTTGTCATAGAACAACGGATCAGATGATTGACAGCTACAAAGTGCAGTCTGAAGAGGAAGTGTTTACTGCTTACTCAGCTCCTCCCCTGTAGCCTGAGGCCTCTCTTTCTCTCTCTGTGTGAATGTCTCGGTCATTCTCTCGCTCCGCCTGTGATAAACAGTCGCTGTCACTGAAGCCCGTCCACCGCTCCAGGAAGTGGTTTTGCCACAGGTGGGTGGAGCAGAGAGGGAAAGAAAGACGAGAAACCAAGCGCCTGGGAAAGAGAGATAACCAGGCAGGGGAAACAGACTGGAAGTGGTTGTGTGAGAATGGGAATGACAGGTCACAAGTGTCTCTTTAGATCAATATTAGAGCTACAACCTGTTCTGGTAGAATCAAAATAGTGCTAGAGTTTGCTTAGGACTTAGTGCAGCTCTCACCCTCCTCTCCTCCCCCTCTCTACCTGTGACCCTGGAGCAGAGAGGTTCAGCCGTCCTCCATGTGTGCCTGGAGAGGGTGGGCCAGCTGGAGCTGTGGCTGCAGGAAGCCCAGAGGAGCCTGGTAGCCGGGGGAGCTGCTGCCGGGGCAACCACTATGCAGGACAGCGTGGAGCAGCAACTCCTCACCTGCCAGGTAAGCCCCGCCCACCAGGAACTAGGTCCTTACTACAGGACTTTTCAGGTCAAAAGATATCTGCAGTGCAGTTAGAATTAGTCTGACAATAATATGAATATTTTAAGCTTAATTTTCAGGTGGAAAGATGTATGACCTGCAGTTTACTAAATCAATGGTTCCTAGGCTGTAACAAATAAGAGGTAGAATAGAAGAATATAAAAATAAACAACTTCTTGGTCAAAATCTTGATATTTGCTACATTTGCTAGAATATCAGAGGGCTCAAAATGAATCGGTGTCTACTTAAGAACCTTTGCAACCAAAGAGATTTTATATATATATATTCAGTGAAATATTCAGAGGAGTAAAGACATAGATTGTATAGTAATTTACTAAATTAAAATAACAAAATTGTAAATATATATGTGCTTGTCATGTAGAAATAGGAGAGGATCTTTCCCAAACTCGCACCACATCATTTAAAAAACACTATTGTCTAAAATATCACCGTATGACCAAAAGTACTCTGAACTATCTGTACATTCTTCTGGCCTTTTTATAATCTCAAATCTCTTGCAGTTGAGTCCAAAATGAAATTTTTCCTGTTGGATTTCATTAGTTTGCCAGTAATGTCATGCAAAACACCAACGATGAAAGATCACTTTTATTTTTGAAATGTCTTGAAACCAGAAACACATTCATTCTTTTGATAATCTCTTCCCTCGGGATAAACCAGGCTTCATTTACGAACTCAGAAGTACAAAAACGAGCTTTTCATATCCGCACTTTAAGTCTGAGCTCATAACCCTGCGTCTGTTTGGCCTAAGAATATATGCTATGATAAGTCACTGGCCACGTCATGAGACACTACACACATTTCAAATTGCACAATGCCGTTTCAAGAGCAAAATATGACGCATGAGTAATTTCCAAATCATTGCTGACTATTTCAGATCTTGCAAAATGTTATAAAAACTACGAGCTGATGATGTTTTAGCAGCTCAGAGGTTAAAATGTTAATCATGTATGATCCTGGAACACTTCTGGTTCTGTAGGTAAAGCTTAATGTTGGTTTATTTGTTTACCACATGTCATACACACATGCAATTCAAAGTGCTTTACACACAGTTGAAAAATAAAAATGAAAACAAGGCAATTCATGAAAGACAATGTGCTGGAGGAATCAAAGTAAAGTCAGTTATTTGAACTTTCTATGAGTGTAATATGTCTGGAAGCTTCCTCCAGCAGTCTGATGTTATAGATTTGACCCAAAGGTTAGTGGTCAGCGTATTTTATTATATTTCATTTGATAACATAATGAAGCAGACAGTATTGCTACTTGTAGTGTAATATTTTAATTTGGTTTGTGTGCTCCCTTATTGCTCAGAGGAGCAAATATTCACCCAACAATCTAAGCTTTCTTTCATGCCATGTTTGTGTCATTACATGTTTCAATACAGTTTGAACTTAATTAGGTTTCATCATTTTATTCAGAATTTCTAGAAATTAATCAATACTTATTTCTAATCAAACTACTAATACTTACATTGCTTTAACTCTGCTGGTAAATGAAAGGACATTCAAATGAGGACTGCTGGAGAAAGTGAAAGAACAACCGTCTCACTAAACATTAACTCAAAGCGTTACATTCAAACATCAAACATTTTTACAGCGTAAATATGTACTTTGGCTGTCTCACTGTTTGTACAGTCTTAGATGTATGGAGCAGTAATGTGTTAGAGGGCAAAGGAAACAAATGACTTGTAAAGAGTTCCCTTTACAAACACTTAATGTATGGGCTCAGAACAGTCTCATAATACACACATGCACACAGAAGGATTCACACTTGTGTTTTTCAATGCACACACAAATATGTTCCGTTTCATATACCGTACATGTAAATAAAATCTAAATACAGAAAAAAGTTTTACATATGTATTTTTGATCCTTACATATTTGTTTTCCGCGCTCATGTGATTGGCTTAGAATGAAGGAGACATCTGATTGGCTATAGATAGAAAAAATTACAAGTACGAATCGGGTGACCGTCAGGGGAGTCTCAAAAAACCCACACACGAATGCACAGCGATCCGTGCACAGAAAGCGGTTTGTGTTTGCAGGTTCAGAGGTTTTAAACGGAAAACAAATATGTGAGGATCAAAAATACATATGTAAAACTTTTTTCTGTATTTGGATTTTATTTACATGTATATGAAACGGAACACATTTGTGTGTGCATTGAAAAACACAAGTGTGGATCCTGCTGTGTGCATGTGTGTATTATGAAACTGTTCTGAGCCCATATTAATGCCGGCTGCTGGTATTTGCATTGAGGGCGCGGTTTGGCTGGATGTCAGAAATCAACCAATCAAATGTTTTAGTTTCAAACTCTCCCTGACGACCAAACAAACACATGAAAACATGCTGCAGCTGTTACAGCGCACTGTAGACTAATTAACTGTTTTTTATTGTCAATTTATATCGGATATGTACGGAAGAGGATTAGGGCCACATTCTCAGAATTCTGACATTAATCTCATAACTAATAAAATGATCACTTTGGGTCAGATCTGAAAATAATTTCACATGTGGCCCTCATCTTTTTACGTAGATATTGGGCACAGCCAGTAAACATATTTGTGCTGTTCTGTGAAAAAAAGGATTAAATGTACTAAAAACTTGGTGAAAGACTTCAGTTCATTGTGGATATTTGAATCTGAAAGCTATATTAATATATAATATAATGGTTTGCAGTCTAGAGTCCCGCCCTCACAGGCTTCACTATTGTGTGTTCATTCAAAGCTTTGGCAGGTATTTTCCTCCCATGATTCACCCCCTGCTGACCCAGAGAGTGTAACTCGAGCCTCCATTAAAGATTCAGAGGTTGAACACGTCACACGTTTGAATGAAGCATTGTGTGCCAACAAACAGCAACTAGTGAGATCCTGTCTGCCATTCAAATTCACTAAACTAAAGAGCTTCGATCCCAGAGACTGACCCTGATCTAACTTAAACATTATGAACCTTTGTGCTGCATCATTACCTAACGTGTGTGTGTGTGTGTGTGTGTGTGTGTGTGTGTGTGTGTGTGTGTGTGTGTGTGTGTGTGTGTGTGTGTGTGTGTGTGTGTGACTGTACAGGACATGTTCCTGGAGATCGAGCGGAGGGTCTCCAGCCTGGCGGCTCTCGGTCCGGCGGCTGACCAGCAGCAGCAGGACGAGGCGGCCGAGCTGCTCTCCTCCAAACTGGAGCTCCTGAAGGCCAACCTGGTGTCCTTCCAGCAGCTTCTGCAGGACAGACAGGGGGAGGAGAGGACCCTCACACACACTGAGACACAGGGACAGGTACAAGCTATATGTAGGAGTAGAAATCAATTCAAAGTGTACATGTAGAGTAAGTTTAATACATTTAGTTGCAGGATAAAAAACAACTTGGGGCTAAAAATCAAAACACTTTTTGACAACACATCAGTCAGAATGAGCTGGCTGTTTAACTTAGTATTTAAAATCGTAGTTTGAGTTTTTTTTTTGTCCCTCTTTCTCTGTACCAACATGTTTTTGTATTAGAAAAACTCATTTCTCATGAATCCTGACCATTTGTTTTGCCTCCAAAGTAGTGCACATGTAGTCTGAACAATATTTGAAAGATACTATAGTCCATGTTAAGTTAGGTAATCTTTTACGTTGATGCATTTTCTTCAATATAATCATTCCCACCAAACCCACGTCGAATTATTAGGATCAATCGCATTCCTATTTCTCCTTCATTTCTCGTCTTTATTTAGCTTACAGGATTAAACAAATGTGACAGTGTGGAGGTGTGTCTGCTGTCAGACAGGTCACGTGTGCCAAAGTCACTCCCTGATAATTATTAAGGCCTGTCTCTATGAAACTAAACAGACCTGCTAGAGCGATTAGCTCTAGCAGGTCTGTTTAGTTTCATACCTGCAAGTCACAAATCTTAGTAAGCAAATCAAAAGTCTTAGTCTTAGCGCTGAAAGTCTACTTCTACTGTGTTTAATGTTTTTTACATGACTGTGACTGAGGACAGCCTTTCACTATGGTAGCAATGTTTGATTGTTCCAGCTTGAACCACGTCAAAACTGGACCTAAACATAAAACAAAACTGATTTTAAATCTGATGATTTGAACTGATATTTCTTCACTTCTTCAATCCAGCAAAGGCTGTAACACATGCTTGTGGTGTTGATCTTTTTTAATTGTTCCTCCCTGTGTCCCTTCTTTACCTATTTCCTCTCAGAAGTCAGCAGCTCAGTCAGAGCGCCACCTGGAGTCCAGGCTGCGGCGCAGCAGCAGTGTTCAGGAGATCTTCTCCTCTCCCAGAAACAAACTGCTCCGACAGAGCAGCCTGCAGCAGCAGAAGGTACTGATATACTGATGGAAGGTTTTACTGAAGTATATAACCATACATCAAGTTCATATTTTTGAATATAACTAATATCAGCCACTTTAGAACTTTTTGAGAACCCCACAAGAAATCCAAATGCTTAACTGAAGTCTGAAATCCTCAGTAAAAACACATCATAGTTACCAACTCAGTCCATTGTATTAGAAGTGGATGAGATCTTAAAAAGCCAATACTAACCACTTTCTAAAAGTAAGCCGGTACATTGATTGAATGATATCTGTTGGTGGTAAATGGGTTTCCTTTTTCATTTGAATCATTAATATTAATTTCAGGTTGCTCTGGAATTCAGTCAGCAAAGCAAAGCCCAAAATAAATAAAAGTTATAACTATTGTGTTGACAAAACAAAAAAAGTAGCTAGAAGCAGTAAATAACCGTAATGTTTGTGTTTACTGTTCTGTACATCTCACTCTATCCCTCTCTGTGTGCAGGAGTTGGAGCAGCAGCTGACGGAGCAGAGAGGTCTGACCCAGGCCATCGCCCTGCAGGGCGGCAGAGGACGGCTCCACAGCCCGGACACAGAGGACCAGAGCCCGCTGTCACCACGGTAACAACCTCACCATCACTCTGTTATTTATGTGATCTGAATATATATGTACAGTACATAGTGTGTGGGATATGATTTATTTCTATTATGTCCTACACAATAATACTATTTCAGTTATTATTCTTTTGGGCTTTTTATTGAGAATCAAACGTACTTTTTTTCAGTGATTCAGTAATTATCAGTACCTGTTAAACAAAAGGACAGAGTAAGGCTGCAGTAGATTTAAAAAAAGAATAAAACAAGGAGAATGTATTATTCAAAAGAAATGTTTGCCATTTTGAATTATTTGATTTAATGAATCCAATAATTCAATGAGTTTTTAGCTTGATTTGCCAATAACGAAAGAGACATAGATGAGATTCTCAACAACAATAATACAAAAAAACAAATGCAGCCAGAAGAACACAAAGAAAGCAGGATGAAAAACAGATATGACAGAAAGAGAGAAAGTAAGTATTAAGTGTTATTAGGTGTGAACTCTCTCCTCTTCCCCCCTGCAGGTGGCCTCCTGCTGGGTCGGCTGTGCACGAGGACGCGGCTCACAGGAAGTGGGACGGCCTTCACAGCCAGCTGCTTTCTCTGGAGGAGAGCTGGCTGCTTCCCCCTTCAGAGGTATGGCCTTCATCGTCAGCCTTCTGCTTGATTATCACTTTCAAATACGGAAAAGAAGAAAAATGTGTGTTCTCGCTGCGCTTGATTATCACCTTCTTTGAGCTGAAGGCACTTAGTTGTCTTTTTGTCCCTATGGGGAGTCCTGCAGGGCTTCATAAGAGTTGTGTGTGTCTCCTACTTCTGATGTCTCTCTCCCCCCCCCCCCCATCTCTCCTCCTCTCTGAAGGTGACAGACTCATCTACGAGGCACAGTGATGGAACAGCAGGACGCGTAATTGGCACACAAACCCTGAAAGAGCTCCAAACTCACATCAGCCAACTGAGAGAGCTGGGCCTCACAGCGACAGAAGCTCTGAGTCAGGTACAGGCTCCTTTATCACAGGCTGTTTCTCACAGACTATACAGGGTGTCAGGACATGGGACCTCTGATACTACACATGGCTATAACATGTGTTTTCACAAGTTAGTGACCCCTCTCTATTGTATGATACTGGTCATAATCCTAAGGAGTCAGGACCTTTATTGTAAACCATATCTGTGAATTTAAGGAATATAACATTAACCATTATGTATCAGCTATCCTGACCTATAGTTCAATATGAATATGATTCTTTTGATATTCTACTGTGATTTAAAATGATAGAGCTGTGTTAAAGGTCACATGTCATGCTTTTCTGGTTATTACCCGTCCCCTTGTGTGTTACGAAGGTTTTTATGCATGTAAACGGTCTGCAGAGTCAAACCCTCAAAGTACACCCTGTAGCGAGTAAAACTCTAACACAGAAAGTACCTCCCCAAAACGCCTCGTTGGAGATACGTCACTGTCCATTGATTCTTCCAGGTACGCATGATGTCAACCGTACCCGGAACGAAATGGACCAATCCGTGGAGCCGTTACGTTACGTCCGCGGAGCCGTTACGTTAAGCCCCCGCTGATTGGTCCAAATTGACCAATCCACGGACTTCCTCACACACACACTCAGTGCAGGCAGCTCTGCTGATCTCTCCTCCCTGGCTGCAGGCTGATAACAGACAGTTGGGATCGCGGCGAAATTCTCTCTGCAGACCCATTCTCACAGCGTTTATCAACCTTTTTCTTACTCAATATCAAGCCACACTTATTGTTTTTACTTCGGCTGTGACTTTGTGTGTGCTCAGGATGATTTTGGCTGTGTTTCGCTGTGTATCGCTAAACAAGGAAACAACACCTCCACGGAGCTCAACGCGATTCACAACGTCCCGACCAATCAGAGCACACTGCTAACAGGGAGGGTGGGGGCTGGAGCTACTGGACCTACAACGAGCCGTTAAAGGCAGAGAGTGAAATTCAGTGAATACACGTAGTTTACAGAGATGCTGTATGAGAAACAAAAGTGAGTTTGGAAAATTGCACAATATAAATCTATTCTAGTAGACCTCAACAATGGAATTATGATCAGTGGAAATGGCCATGACATGGGACCTTTAAGGTCAATTGCAGATTTGTAAAGAAACTGAGATTGCCATACTTAACTAAAAACATATTTAAATTTGCTATTTTTTACTGGAAAATAGGGACTAAGCACATTTTAACAATTTGGTCTTAATTTTTTATCTTTTTAATATATACTTATTTTGTAAACTCACATACTGTAATAGGTGATGTATAGTAAAGGCAACAAAACAAACTTGAATCAACCTCAGATGCCCCTCTGATAAAATCAAGGAAAGAAAACAATTGTGTATACAAATAAATGTCACCTTTTAATTTGAAATGTTGTTATTGAAAAGGAAAATGGAATGCCAGGCATGAAGATTTTTCATCTCTCACCACAGGACACACATTTTGACATCACACTTAACAAAATAAGAGCAGGGAACAACAAACGAGAAAGACAGCCAGTGAGAGAGGAGTGAGGAAAGGATTAAACAGCCTCCACCTCCTGGTTAATAATAACATCCGACTCTAAATGCATCACAACAACAGTCAAAGTAGTCTGAATTTCCCCATGTCACCAACACAGTGTCAAGAAGTTTATCATAAAAGTCATATCATATTTGACCCATACAGGTGCAGGAGAGTTCAGCAACGATACAGGGATCATGAGAGAAATAAATCTTGCTCTAAAACCATATCTTAAATTTGTCCCACCCCAGGCCTCCTCGGTGGACGGCTCCCATGAGACGCTGGACGAGGGTTTGTTTCATTTGCTGCACGGAGCGTCCCTGTCCCTGTCCTCCTTCAACAACCTGCTGCACTCACCTGCTGGGACAACACATGAAGAAGACACTCAGCTGAGGCTGCTGCAGCTGCAGGTAACATAAGATGGCCCTTTATTTACCGAGCCTTCGCGGCAGCTGGCCCTAGGCTCTGGAACACTCTGCCCCTCCATGTGAGGTCGGCCCAGACCCTAGGGGTTTTTAAATCTACACTTAAGACACACTTAAGACACACTTCTCCTCCTTGGCTTCTCCTTTTGTGCTTATTTATGCTGAATGACTATATCTCACCGCATCCACTACAAACTCCTGGTCCTCACTTACAAAGCCCTCCACCATCTGGTCCCCCCCTACCTCACTCACCTCCTCATCCTCTACCAACCCCCCCAGTCCCTCAGATCCACCTCAGCCGGTTTGCTTTCCACCCCAAAGGCCAAACTCCGGAGCTTTGGGGACAGAGTGGCAGCCCCAAAGCTCTGGAACTCCCTCCCCCAAGACCTCCGTGAGTCTGAGTCCCTCACCCTGTTCCAGTCCCGCCTCAAGACTCATCTCTTCAACTCTGTATATCCATAAGCCCCTCCCCCCTCAATCAACTTCCTCCAGACTGCCCTTTCTGTTTATCTTATTTTATTTGTTTTATTTTATTCATTTATTATTATTATTATTTTTTTTGATTTGTTTTGTTGTTTTTGTTTGTTTTTGCATGTCCTTGTCTGTCTACCCTCCCCTCGACTGTAAAGCGTCTTTGAGTTAGAGAAAAACGCTATAGAAATATCATTTATTATTATTATTATTATTATATGAATAAATATACGAGCATATCTCTGCTACTCACAATATTTAGAAGCTAGCATTTTTCTAATGAGTCAAAGAGACTTTGAGTCTGACTAAGACTAAAAGTGAAGTCAATACTTGAAAGAACTGAATGATATGTTATTATAAATACAAAACATTCACATTTTATTTCAAATTCGAAATAGGAAACAAAGTCAGATATAAGACCCTGCATCTCTTATTCAGCTCAGATTCATCTTCAGTAAAGAGAAACTGATATTTTTTTGGGTCAGTTGAGGATTCCTTTACTTCTACCCATCAATTATTTTGTTTGTGGTTTTAAGGTCTTTTATGCCCAAAAAGGCTGAATCAAAAATGAAAATATGCAGCATTTATAAAAACAATATCTCAAAGACATCTGAAAGACCTAAACTGCCCTCTTCACACACTCTGGAACACACAAACGTGTTCCAGCTTATGATTACAATGCAGACTCACTAATAAACCTCCCTTGTATTTCATGCCAGAGCCTGTCAGCAGCGCTAGCTTCCCTTGGCAGTGAGCTGTCCTCTCAGGGCTCAGAGGTCAGCCGTGTGCTGGGGTCAGAGCGCGGTCAGCAGTGTGTGGAGGCTCTGTGCAGAGTGCTGTGTGTGGTGCAGGCTGCTCTGAGCAGCAGAGAGCAGCAGCTCACACACCTGCAGGAGGAGGCGGCCCAGCAACAGGTCAGACATCAGCACTAACTCTTATTATCTGAGAAGGTAAAACCAAGACACTCAAAGATCTTATTTATATCTTAACTGTATTAGTGTTTATAATCTGTGTCCTACTATCTTTTGTTGTCAAATCTCACCTCCTCTTGCACATTATCTAACAAATGTATATTACCTGCACTGTTTAAATATAACTTTTTAAATACAAAAGAAAATAACCTTGTTTATTGAAATAAAACCCTCGTTTGCATGCAGTTTAAAGGACCAGTGATGTGTGTTTAACCGACAGATACAACTGAATGAGTTGCATGCAGCCTTCACTTCTAACCAGGCGACGGCTCACCAAATAATTCATGAATTCAATGGATCTCTGGGCCTTAACAAACAAATACAGGTACGGTTTCCATGGAGATATATTGACTTTAACAAGCTAGTCATAATCTGAGGTATTTGAGTGAACTGTTTTCTGATGTTTCCTGTGTGTTCTTAAAGATGCGGTGGTTGTTTGATTGACAAAATAATCAGTTAATTTTATGAATTCTAATTATTATTGAATTTTAATCATTTACATAGCATTTCAAATATTTTACTTTTCTGTGTTTTATAATATAATTAATTGAAAATGTTGGGTTTTTGGCTTCTGGTCGGAAGAAAAAGACATAAAAAGATCTCAGAAATGATTTATTAATGTATTTGTGTCAGACAGGAGATTTAAAACGTTTCTCAGTCGACATCATAACGTTTTTATTTGTCACAGTTTATATGTTTTTATTTTTCAGGCTGTGGTTCAGATGCAGGAGTCTCTGCAGCAGCAGGTGGAGCAGGTGAGCTCCCTGATGGAGGAGGCGCACCGACACCACCTGCCTGCCTCCCTCATCCAGCAGGCCTCACAGCTGCAGGTATGAAAGCTGCTGTGTCATGTCAAATGTAACCAAGTCTGCTTTGTGTGAACACATTTTGGATTCCTACCTTCCCAATATCAAACTAAATAAGTTGTCATTCAGTTGCCACTAACATATTTTGTTTTGTTTTTTCCTGTATGTGCAGGATGAGCTGGACACTTCTCTAGGTGGTGTTCGCTCCCGCTGTGAGGAGCTGAAGCACAGTGTGGAGCTGCAGCAGCAGTATGAGCGTCTGGTCCTCAGCCTGCAGGAGCTGCTAGTTCTGGGCCCTGAACGCCTCGAGCAGAAGCCTGACGCAGAGCTCCGCGACAGAGCTCATCTACAGCAGCAGCTCAGTAGCCATACGGTGGGATATACAAGGACATTCTGTTCAAAGACCTTTGGTGTATACATTCTTTTAAATTATTTTTGACGTTACTTTGTTTTCAGAAGTTCTTCCAGTTCCTGGGCCATCACTTTAGGATCCTGCAGAACCTGACCCACAGAGTCCCGGAGAGCACCCTCCAGAGGTGGCAGGGTGTGGTGATGGGCCTGCAGGTGGAGATAGCCCGGCTGCACCAGCAAGGACTGGACCAAGGGACCAGGATGCAGGAGACATTACAGGTAGGGAAATTATTATGAAATACAGCAATGAAAGGATTATCTAAACATGAACAAAGTATCCTCTCACAGAGCTGCTGCCATGGCTGTAGACTCTTAGTTATTGTGGCTTTGAATTAAGAAGGCTATAGGAAGCAACATTGATTTTTTAATGCAAGTACATTAATATGACATAGTATAGTACTCATTCTCAAAAAATCTATCAGCAAAAAGATGTCTGTCTATCTAAAGATCATTCAGGTAAATAGTGCCTTACATTAATTTCATAAATGTATTTTGCCTAGAAATGTGTTTTAATAATATCAATATATACACCTTGTGTTAAGAGGGCTTCCGTAACAAAATGTTATGACTTGGATGGAATGTAATTATGCAACAATTAATTCAACCCATACTTAGAAGACATAGAAATGTCATAGGAAAATAATCACATTGATGTTAATAAACAATTTTCCTGCACTTCATCATTTCTCCATCTGTCTCAGATGTGGTCGCAGTGGGAGGAGGACAGAGCCTGGTCAGACTCCCTGCTGAGTCCCATTGAAACTTCATCTATCAAGATGCACAATGAGGGTAATTCAGAGGAGCGGATATCAGAGAAACTCTCAGTCTACCAGGTAATTTTTATGAATAAATGTGTACTTTCTGACCGTCGGCGGATAATTGAAATGTACCAACAAGCGGCCGTCTGGAGGACCGAGCGCATTTCGCAATGTTCCGTTCTGCTCATTTAGAGAATATTTTAGCGCGCTCTCCATGATGTACTTTGTGCATTGCACTCAAAAACCTAATTGGCTCAATTACATACAAGCGAAAGGTTGTTTTCTGTAGGGGTACATGATGTTCTTTGGTTTTGCTGTAAGTTATTAGCCGAGTCACGACCTCCAACTAACATTCATTTTGGTTAATATTCCTTGTTGCCCTGCTGTAGGATTGGAAATGTGTCTTTTATCCATCTGAAATCAGAGCCAGGCTAGCTGTTTCCCCAGCTCCCGGTATATATGCTAAGCTAAGCTAACCGCCTGCTTAACATTAAATACTGAAGTACTTTTACTTTGTGTAGTACTGGCTATGTACTGAACAAACATACGTGAACATGATAGTGATCTTACTCTGAGTAAAAGCGATTAAGTGTTAATAAAGTTTTGTGTTTTTCAAAGGAGCTGCGTGGCGTTCTGCAGGAGAACAAGGCGCGGTTCAGTCGGATGCTGGAGGCGGGGCTCCGGCTGCAGGAGGTGGGCTGCAGAGGAGTGGGAGTGGCCAACAGCAAACTGGAGGCAAGATGGAGAGCCCTTCACAAGAAGGTGGAGCACCAATGCACAAATGTAGACAAGAAGAGGAAGCTAAGGAGCAGGTGAGAGAGAGAAAACATGTAGTTGTTTAGACTTCACAAGTTTGATCAAGTATTAACTATCAAATATTTTCGAAATGTTGAAATTCCATATTTTTGAGTGGTTGAAATATCTTTATACTTTCATAATATTTTTGTTTTTTTAACGCCTGGATTTTACTGAAAAATATATTTGTCTTTGTAAAATGTGTGTAGCATCAATCAAAAAGCACCTGACTGTTTTACATCTATTAATTATGTATTGATATATATCTTTTTCAATAACAGATATGCAGATGACCCTGTAGCTATGTCGAATTGTTAATCAAAATGTGTTATTTCCCACCAATAACCAGGTTTCTTCGTGACTCTGCTGTACTGGCTGACTGGATGGGCGGGGCCAGAGAGATGATTGACAGATGTCAGCTCTCTGTGTCAGCAGAGGAGGAGATGGATGTTGAACAGAGGCGTGATCACTACTTCCAGTTTGTGGTGAGCACACAACACTCACTCGTTGTAAATAACAAAGACGCGCACAAATAAAACCTGCTCAATTTCATGTAGACTTTAGTTAAATTAATGAATTTTATTTTAAATGTTATGTCACAAACGTTTTTTTTGCAATATACAATAAATAACATCAGGTTTATCGAAATAAAGCTTCTAGTTTTTATGTCTGTAGACCTAAAGTGGGGAAATGTACCAATTACTTGAAATAAACAGAGTTTATGTTCCTGAAAAGGGAGTAAATAATATGTTGCTAACAACCCTGTCTCCACCACAAATAAATTGTATTAAGTTGATGATTGCCATAAAACAAAATAACATGATAGTTATTATTTAGGTTTTGACCAAACGCATGGAAGCAAAGTCTGGACTGAAGGTGGCTGTGAACGGAGCGGGAACCCAGCTGCTGCAGATGAGGGAGGAAGAGGACGGAGACTTAGAAATAAATCTAGAGGACAAAGAAACATCAGAACCAGATCTCTGCTCCATCAACGCTCAGCTCAGACAGATGGAGCTGGACTGGTCCCGCCTCCTGGCCGATGTTCCTGTCACCCAACAAGCTCTGCATAAGGTGAGGAGACTCCCAACTTCCATACCAATTATGTAAATATAAAGAAAAGGATGTGGATTTTGGCCTATCCTTATCTTGTTCAGTATTTTTGTATTTTCAACAGTTATAAGAGGATACAATACAAAGGCACACACTTAAGAGAAAACATACAAGAAGCAACTGAACAAAAATAAACATTGACACAAAAAAAGGAGTAAACAGCAGGAGTAGGCATTTGCAAAATAAGTTACCTCAAAAACACTAAACCATTCGTCTTTTGTGTTAAAGGTCCCATGTCATGCTTTTCCGGTTATTACCCGTCCCCTTGTGTGTTATGTAGCTTTTTCTGCATGTAAACGGTATGCAGAGTCACACACCCTCAAAGTACATCCTGTAGGGAGTACAACTCTAACACAGAAAATACTTGTCTATGCTGCCCCAGAACGCCTCGTTGGAGATTTCTTTTCTTTCTTGCTGGGTACAGTGACGTGACCATACCCAAATAGACCAATCCGTGGAGCTCCTCACACGCACACACTCTCAGCGGCGAAACTGTGACGCGCTGGGGGGGTGCTACTGGAGCCTCACAGCGGCAAAACTGTGGCGCGCTTACACTGTAGGTGCGCCGCGTTTGGGGGTGCGGGTGCTAGTGGAGCCTCGCAGATGGGGGTGCTGCAGCCCCCTCAGCACCCCCCCTTCCCGTGTCCATGGTGCTCAGGCTGAGTACAGGCTGAATTTCGCCCTGTCTCACAGACTCCACGCAGCAACCAGGAAACAACACCAGTAATAGAGCTCACACTATCCCCTCCTCACAGCAGCGAGCCGCACAACGTCCCGCCAACACGGCACCCAGACCCCACGCAGCATTCTCATCTGTTTGTCATTACTGGTG